GCGTTTACCAGACCCCTTTCTTTTCACCTTAATTGCTCTGATCGATCCAATAAAAAGTATTTTCAAGCCCCATACCTTCCAATCAACTTCTTTTCCAAAAGTTTTCCCATGAACCGAACAACAACGTCCGAGTTGGAAAATTGTACAGAGCCAGGATGCTTCACCTTTGCTAGAGGATCAGCCCACTTTGACTGTAAAAGGCATTCCACTGCGTTACTGGCATAAAAGTAGTTAACGCAGCATCCACCGAGGCGACCCTCGCTTGAAGGCAAGTTCCTGTACAAATACTTGCAGACTTCCAATTCAAAGGGTGACGGTTGCGACTCTCCACCACTAGTATCACATCTTTTCACCTTTCCTCGTTTCTTAGAGTTCATTGTAAAACATCGACCACAGCACCACTACACAAAAAATAGGCTGGTGGATTAAGAAGTGCACGTCCACCCAATCTGAGATAAGCTTAAATGGCACTTCTTGCCTTATTGGTCACTTCAAGGACGCCTTTGTGATTTATCAACAAAGGACTTAATCTGTATTGCATAGGCATTTTCCTAAAAATAAGATGCATGACCAAAACAACTGTTGCTTCCTTTTGAGTTAATATTTGTTAGCAAAAAAGGGCTTTTTAATGAGGATTCACGTTCATAAAGATAGACTAAGTATCCACATATTTATAGGTATACCACTTGTATATACTGCAAACACATAATGCAAATTGATTTAAGAGCCCACTATAACTAGAAATTATGACATTTCTAAAAAATTGCGTGGCGTAGGTTTTACAAAACATAATGTAGTCTATGAAAATGCCTACAGAGGCAAAAAATCCGTTTAGTTGTGTGCCTTTGCTAATACTTCATTTGCTGCTACTATTATGCTTTATTGTAACACGATAGTGGTTTATCCCTCGGATCTGGTGAGGCGCCACTTTTGTACTTTGAATTAGCCCCCTTGTGTCTCGCTGGGTGGGCTGGCCTTTTGGGCCATGCCAATAGCCCAGACACCTTCTCCGTGC